CACGCGCTGCTTTCCTTTGTCTCTCTTTCCCTCTATTCAACCCGTGAGCATCAGATTCTCTAGGCCCTCCTTCCTCATTATGTGTCCCAATGAATTTCAGCTGCCTATTCCTGATGTTAAGTATAAGCCTCCTCCTTGTTTGTAACCTCATCGTTGCTCACACGCTCGATCCATGATATCCTTAGCATCCTTCTGTAGAACCACATCTCCGTCGCCTCGAGTCTCTTCTTCATCTTTGAGGAAATCGTCCAACATTCGCTACCGTAAAGAAGGGCAGATGTCACGTAACAGTACAGTATTCTTTTCTTTGTTACCAAAGATTCGCAAACCTCTTCTTACTTTTTACTTCAACATGTAAATTTCTGGCGGAAGAACACGTTCCCTTTTGGGAAACGCATGAACAATACATACACACCCACACGCTCGCGCGTACGTACGTACATTCACTCACTTCACATACTTTGGACCAAAAAGTTTCCACATTCATTTGTTACACACATTATTGTCTTTGTCACTTATAACTCTTTTGTTGTTAATACATTATTATTTGTTTGTACATACATGTATTTCGGTTCTTGTCGTTTCCTACATTTGTTTACGTGGACTCATATTCCGAATCAGCCATGTTGGTTTCAGAAGACACATGTGTTTATTAATATCCAATCAGGTTCCAGAAACCAATTATTTAATTTTGGAGCTGTGTTTTGTACAGGATTGTAAAGTTTTTTCGTATTTACTTATTTTAGTTAGGATTTATTTGTAGGCGTCTTTTACTTGTTTTGTGCTTGCATTTATTGACCGTAAAATATAGGAATTTATCCTTTACTTACTACCTATACTAGAGATATTTTTCGAAGTAATTTTTTGCAAATTTAAAGAATAATCAACTAGAATTTTTTTTTTTTAAAGTAATGTTTACTTAATGAAAATAACGTTTATTTATGCACAGTAGCTTTGGCGTCATAGGTCAAAAATATAAATATATAATCACACTCCTAACTTAAAACGCGCGCTAAAAATTAAAAATTATATAAATACAGAAGACCAGCAGTGCAATGCTAGTATTTGTTTTAAAATAAATTATCTATATAACCAATATTTTATGAATATACCGTAATACGCTCCCCTAAAATTGTGCTGAAAGTTTGGGAAAATGCTTCTACTCACGCATAATACGCACCCCTTGTTTGGTAATCAAACTTTATAAATTGTACCTCTTCAATTTCATTACGGCCAGCGTTTCTTACTCTTATAAAAAATGGTTTTAAACATAGAATAATAATATTCTAATTTAGTTTTATGATAATTCTTATTTTAATTTATTTTAAATTTGTAAGTATTGTTAGGTACATATGATTGTATTTGACATCCGTATGGGCTCGCATTCGCCGAATATTAGTGTCAAATTGTCGTATGTTTGTGATGAGTAATTGAAATTGGCCTATGAAGTGGCAAATTTTTAAAGATTTTTTTGTAGCTGTGCATAATACGCACCCCTAATTATTATTTTTTTTAGAAAAAAATGTGTATTATAAATGGGGAATTACGGTAATTTTTTATTCTATACGATTTTATGAAACTTATAATTTTATTTTTTATTCTACATTAGAAGTAGCATTTTTAAAGTTAAATGATATTATGTTTATTTAATTTTTTTTTTATTTTTGTACCTGTTTGATATCATAAAATATCTAATTGCACCCAATGTATTTTTTCTAATTATTTTGAATTTAAGTGTTATTGAATTATCCTCTTCGTATGGGAAAAGTAATCAAATATTAAGTGCAAATAGTTTTCTGTTCAATCTGAGAGAAAAAAAAAAATAACGCGTTTTATTAAATTATGCAAGCACTGAATTTCAGAAAAAAATATTTTTTTAGTTTTATTGAATTATTTTTGGTAAAGTTCGGGACGAATTTTTCGTATGTTCACACTTGATTTTTTTTTTTTCCTTTTTTTACTGAAATAACAACTTCAGAGTTTTTTCTTTAAATGTAAAAAAAAAAAAAAAAACATTTGACGAACATCCCACCAAAAAGAAAAAAAATACACACGAGGAATTTAAGAAAATTCGTTAACGGAAAATTTGATAATTTTGACAAGGTAGGAAAATTCGGTAACTATGAAATAATAGTTGATTGAAAATTGATTTTAGGGCCGTTTTGAAGTGGGGGATTTGGAGGCTAAGCTCCCCCCTCCCCTATATTTTTAAATAACTGAAAATCATGGGGTCCAGTTAAAACCCCACTACAACAATACCTAAGCTGTACTTGCAGAAGTTGGGGTGCTAGGCTTCCTTCTCCAATATTTTTTTATTTAAAGTATTATGGCTAGCCCCCTCTAGAAAGTATAGCCCTGGTATTGTTGTAATGGGGTTCTATCTTGGCCCTTAATACTTTAAAAAAATATATATATTGGGGAAGGAAGCCTAGCACCCTAAGCAAATATTTTTTTAAAACACGAGATAGCAAATTTCTGTTTTCATTTCGGAAAAAAAAGCCTCCAATTTGGTAGTCAATCAGTCATACGTGATAGACGCTTGAGCGATCATGTCTCTACCTACCCGCAGTATGCTGAAGTTTCTTTTAGTGGTAGACTGGTTACTAACCAAGCCAAGATGTCTTAGTTGTTGGTAACCATTCTACCACAAAAATAGTATAGAAAAAGTATGTTCTGCTATCTAATGCATAATTGGAGGAAGAAGGGATGGATTCATAACTTTCCTTCTGGTATTTGCGCGTACGTGCATGTAACGAAATAAACTGAAATTCGAACTCGACTCTCCGATTTCATACCGAGCCGTTATTTTATAGCAAACCGCACAATCAAGCACTAAAACTCAAGGGAGACCATCTTAATATTTTTGTCAAACGAAATAGGTTGTCTACCTTTAAACTAGCAGACCGACAGTAAAATGAGGGAGATACTTCAGTTTATTAAGTTGAACTATCTCAGTATGTAAGGTATTCACAAAAAATTGTTTAGTAATATTGAAATAAGATTTACCTAATTTACATATGAGCACATAGACTTGCATATATATTCTTCTTCGTCTCACATTTCCTAACAATGGCACTGTCAAAAGGATGAACTTGAATTTGTTACACTATTTCACAAGTAATGCAAGATCAAAGAAATTAAAATACAACAAAGCAGGTGGAGATGAAAATAAGATCACCAATTTATACCAAAGCAAGGTGTGAAGCAATCCTGAAAATTTAATTAATGACAGATCCAAAGGAATTGGAAGATTTGACATTCAAGGAAATTTATGAGGTAATCTAGAAAAATATCTGACTAAAAAAAGAGATTGGTCCTTGTGGCGGGAACTAAGTTCATCTCTTTTAAAACAAGAAGTTGTCAAACCAATTATAAAATTTTTACATCAGCTAAATGAGGCCAGTAGACTCATCAAATTTCAAAAGACTTAGAAAAGATGAAATATCTATCAAAGAATTAATCCAGTTAAGATTTATTGATGGTATGTAAAACATTTCTCATGTTGGAACAATTGCAAATGTGTCAAAATGTCACTGAATTTATGAGTTGATTTTTTAGAAGAGGAAAGAAATGCATGTCTCTACAATTGGCGACCAAGTAATGTAATATGTAAATTGCAAAACATAGCTACAAGACAAATTAACTACTTTACAAAGTGGAACTCAAAATCAACAAACTTTATTTAACAAATTAAACGTACACAGAGAAATGTTAGATAGTCACTACTACTAAAAAAAAAAGTAAAACCTTTTTGTCTCAGCCACAGTTATGACTGACTCTTCACTGCAGACATACATATCAGAATTTAATCTAGACTACTAATCCCCATCCTAATGTTAATTTTAAAATCAAACCAAAGAAAATTCACAAACCCACAAGAAATTACTAGAACTTAAAGAAAAAAACATTGTTGCACATGTACACAAAAAATATAGCGAACAGACTGAAAACTGAACACTTCAGTAAATCAAAAATTTTACCTAGTAATGGTAATATTAACTGTTTCCCTACAAGGAAACATTTGGCACTCATTAATCGAACAGCCAGTACAGCTTTTGGTTGAAATTTATAAAATCTTTCTTGTGAAACAAGTTTCCCAAGTTTGGTAGCTTTTATCACTCTTTCCAATATTGATAGGGGTTTTCTTCCTAATTTTTTTATTTTTTGTAGTGTGGTACGTTAACATCTTGATTATGTCATTATTTTCTAGAGATTAAAATAAATGCAAAGTTTTCTAAATTAAACTGTAATATATATCAATGATGAAAACATGACTGGCGAAAAATGTTGAAAACTATGTCTACAAATGTGTAGAAATAAAGAATTTTCAACAGAATAAATTGCACACCAAGTCTAAAGAAACAGAACCTCAAGCTTGTATTCCTTGTATGGATCATGCATATATTAATAATGGTGGAATGTCTCTTATTTTAGTAAATTATTTTTCTGGAAGAACTGTAAGACAAATATTAGGAGTAATACTCTCAGTAAATGGGGTCCCAAGAAAAGTATCAGATAATGACCCAGAAATTTGCAATAATTGTGTTCTTGGTTAAGAAAAATTCATTGTATTCCCTATAAAACTCCACCATATCAAAGTCAAATGGAATTGCAGAGAGAATGGTACAAACTATAAAAATGGGATCAAAAGAATTTTTTTCTCATTTGAATAACATTAACAATTTTCTACCAAGACTATTATTTAGTTATTGAAGTATATTACATACTGAGAGATTACAAAGTCCATCTGCATTAATGGGAAGATAGAATAGGGTTTTGTTAACCATGTCATATTCTGTTAATGAGAAAATATGGTGGAGTAAAAATAGTTAATCTACTCATGAAAAGGTCACATTTATAATGAAGAAGGGACAAAATAGAGCATTTGTATTAAAAAAAATAGAAGGGTCTTACTGGGCCTGTCAACCAAATAAGGCCCAGAAAAGAATTTGAAAAAAGTCACAGTAAGTAATCCCAGCCAGTAAAACAAGAAAATGAATCTAGTGACGATGAGTCAATAGAAGATAGAGAAATGCTGGAGGATATGGACATAGGCTATGAAGAACGACGCCAAGATCACAAGAATAATGGACATAGGCTATGAAGAACGACGCCAAGATCACAAGAATAATGGACATAGGCTATGAAGAATGACGCCAAGATCACAAGAACAATGGACATAGGCTATGAAGAACGACGCCAAGATCACAAGAATAATGGACATAGGCTATGAAGAACGATTCCAAGATCACAAGAATAATGGACATAGGCTATGAAGAACGATGCCAAGATCACAAAAATAATGGACATAGGCTATGAAGAACGACGCCAAGATCACAAGAATAGATAAGACAGATCTAGATCTCTCAGGGAGAGGGGGCAGAGAGAAGGAGGTGAAAGAATCAATGAAAATAAAACAACATATATAGAAGCTCAAGATCCATAAGGGGCATAAAACCCCCTCCATTTCTGGGAGGAGTAGTGATATTGAAATAAGTTTTGCCCCATTTATATATGAGTACACAGACCTACTACAACTGAAAGAGTTAATCTAACACGAAGCCATGAATCTCACATTTCACAACAGATATGTTTTTTCCAAATGTTTCCTGTTCTCTCTATTTATTCAGTTGAGCTGTTTGGCCCAAGGCCTCAAGTATGGGGAATCTAGTTGGGGTCTAATTCAGTTTGTTAGTAATGGTCATTAAGATTACATTTATGACAAATTTATCATAGCAAGGCTTCCAACAGGGAGTTAAGTCTGGCACAAGGCTACAATTAAGGATTAAAATTGCTTTAGCTATAATTTTCTGTGGGGCAATAAACAAAAGATAAATATTTTAATGAAAAAACAGTACATAAAAATTTGCGACAAAATCCTAAAAGAAATTAAAACCAACATATTTCTTAGAATGATAAAGAAAATATTTTATTTTGATCAAAAGTAGCAAGTACATATTCAAGAAAATGTAATGGAAATAGAAAATAAAAAAAAAATTAAGTATTGGAACATTTATTTGCCCCCTGCCTCACCTGAAAAGAAAATCACATTAAATTTGATGACTTCACAAAACAAATTTAGAGAAATGATAAACACCTTGTTGTTCTGATGGCTTTATCACATTACTAATTAATAGTAATTTTGAATACACAGTGATTTTGATTGCTTTAATCACATCACAAACTTTTTATGTTATAAAAACCCTTGCTTATTTCATGTGAGAAAATTACAGCACTTATGACGGCCCTTGCATTTTAAAGACTTATTTTACTTTACAAAATTATATCAGTAATGTTATTTTTTTTTTTCATTATGGAATAACAGCTGTTTTAAAGCAAATCCTACAAAGAGTAGATAGCGTGTTAACGTAAGCAACCTGAAAAAGCTATCAAGTCTTCCATCCCAATTGAATTTTCATGATTTCTTGTTAGGTAAAAATTAAATCTCCTTGATTTTAAACTTTCTTCATTAAATTTTTAAGTGGATAAAAAAGCATATTCTAAAATCACAGAATTCATGATTTTCTGAGATCTTTCTTTCCAAAAACAATTTCAGTCTCAAAAAAATAACCAAAGGCACACAGAAAAGTATAAAATTGTAATATTTCATATCAATTTCAGCATTGAATAAGTTGTTGAAAACATCTCAATGGTTCTAAATGACATGCACTTTACCCAAACCCCCGATGCCTTTCAACTGATCTGAGACAAGACTTGCGATGATATGTTTATAACCAGTTGTTTTGGGATGCAATGTCACTTCCTTGACAAGTTTACCCTTCGGTGGTACAATTTCTTCCCTGCAAAGAAAATAGAAAGCTTACATTAAACAAAATATTGCCAAATTATGCTATCCTTTGTCAGTTGTTTAAAAAAAAAAGTGTGTTTAATCAAAACTAGTTTTAAACATTGTCTATCTGTCTTTATCAATGTGTTCAGTATAAAATATCTGATATTTCAAAAGCATCTTGAAAAAAAATAATCAATCTTCTACAGTTAGCCAATCACAGCTTTCTTATTCAGAAAGATATTCCAAGTCAAGTTGCAATTTTTCTAAAATTCTTCTGCTACAACTTTTCTTTCAACCAAATTATTTTGTTATCAGAAATTTTTGTATATGTCATAGATTCATATTAATACTTGCTAATGGCATACTAAATTGTTTCGGTTTATTTGTCACTAACTCTTGATATGTAGTAAAATGTTATAGGTTGTCACTGGCTGCTTTGTAGATCTAGTAGAAGGTCATATACTTTCTTGTATTCCTCCAATCTTGCAGATGATCTTGTGTTCCCCTAATCTTGTAGATGATCTTGTGTTCCCCCAATCTTGCCGATGATCCTTTGTTTCACCAATCTCACAGATGATCTTCTATTCTTCCATTCTAGCAAATGATCTTGCATTCTGCTACTCTAGCAGATAATCTTGCATTCCACCAATCTAGCAGATGTTCTTACATTACACTGTACATTGTCAGTTGTTTAAAGAAAAAGTGTGTTTAATCAAAAATAGTTTTAAACATTGTCTGTCATTATGAATGTGTTCAGTATAAAATGTCTGATGTTTGAAAAGGATCTTGAAAAAAATAATCAATCTTCAACAGTTTGCCAACCAAATCTTTCTTATTCAAAAAGTTAATTGATAAGTAAGATCACCTTCTGAGTGGCATTGTTAATAGTAAAGATAGAATCATTCTTGGATATGTATTCAGTAATATATAAAATCAAATGTGCTTAATGTCAATTTGCCACTTTTGCAGAATAAGGTCTGTTTGGATATGTATTCAGTGGTATGTAGGGACATTATTATTATTATTATTATTATTAAAAATATAAATAATAATAATAATGAATAACATAAATAAAATAAAACAAATAACATTAAAACTTTGTTTAAAATAAATAAAACAAAATAATAAAAGTTCTCCCAGAATGCAACAGAAACTTTGTGTCAAAAAACACTGAACTCAGTCTCTTACACTAATGATCACTGAAAGATCAACACGTCCATCTCCTCTCCTTGGGATATTACTTGTTATAATATAAAGTGACTTGTTCCTTTTATCACATGCAACCTTAAAGCACTTGTAATTAAAATACACGCACAACAGTACCAAAAATAAATAAATTGTATTATAATTATGAGATTTCTAGTCACTGGCATGTAATATAATCAACAAAACAAGGTAACCAAAATCCTCACTCATAAAAAGAACAGGTTTTATTTTACATTAAACAATACACAAATATACGCATGTCTTTCTCTAACGTAGAGATAATGACTGACAGACTTACCCAAATGGTGGAGCACAGAAAAACTGGTTCCTCAGAGATCTGGTCTCAAGGTTGCTGTCACAGATCAAGTCTGGACTGAAGACACTACACATGTGTCGCTCAATGAGGTCTGCTGAAAAGGGGGGTGCTTCTCCACATGCTAAACTTTTTGTATGGGTCACCTGTGGCAGGATTGACCAATAGGAGAATGTCCTGTTGTCACATGATCTATCTCTCCATGCATGGGTAAAGACAAAGCTTTCTACTGCTCCAACAGTATGATTTTAATTACAATTTAACATGTTTTTAGTATTATTTCTGTGTATGTTTTTATTCCTATGAACATGAGGCTATCCCTGCTGGTATGATGTGAGGGCTTTGTGTCAATTCGCTATCGAGCAGTAATGAATAATAATGTTTGATAGTCATGAGTACTATGTCTGAGTTATGTCTAAAACAGTGACCAGTGATAGAATATAGACATATGAAAACAATGAAACTAATGAACCCTGAAGAAACACCACTTTTTAAGAATAAGGTCTTGTCAGGTTATTTCCTCCTAATTTCGTTAATTTATAAAATTGTTCCTAGGGGACGCTCTCCAGTTTTATAAATACTTGATGATATCTTTTCTCACCCTCTCTTCTTACTTGTCCGCTAATACAACAACATGTCAAATTTCTAGCAGAAGAACGTGATCCCTTACATGTATGAACATTCACTACACATATTTTGGAACAAAAACTTTCCACATTAATTTGTTACACATTATTGTCTTTGTCATTTGTAACCGTTTGTTGTTTAATACATATTAATTTGTTTGTGCATATAGTGATTTTCCAAGCATAGCTTAGATGTGGCACAAGGCCGAAAGTAGGGGGTAACTAGTCAGGATCGAACTCACTACTCAATCGTAATTGTTCTAGCGAGACAAGCTTGTTAGCCATTACACCACCTCGAGGTGCCCAATTTGTTTGTGCATATATATCAGTTCTTGTTGTTTCTTCACATTTCTTTAGGTGGGCCTCATCTCAAGTCCACCATGTTTGTTGTGGGTCATTTCAGGTCTCACAATGCGTACAACCAGCCAACAACAATCTGAAAGAACATTTTGTCCAGTTTGGCACCAGCAGATGTCTGGTTGTTAACAAAATTGAAAGAGGTCATGAAAGGTCAACATGTTTCATCCAGTGCCAAAGTTGGACTTAACTATGCACAAGTGGATCAAAATTCCGGCAGAAACATAATTTATGGAAATAAAAATGTAGATAGAATGTTTGGGAAAATATTTCACACTAAATTTGTGACTATTTAAAAAAAAAAATTTTTTTTTTGAAGAGAAGAAAAATATTTAGTCTTGGTACTAGTTTCATTCTTTTATTGTGCATAAAATTCATTTTAAAGAATTCAAGAGCTTAGTTATCTCTTAACTGTTATATCGAATAGTAATACATTTAATGTTCATACCAAATCCATTATAGTATATGGTTTGATAGGATTGGGTCGCCTTATCAAGTGGATTGTGTAATGAATAGTTGAAAAAGGCCATGTTTTATCCAGTGCCATGTACACAAGTGGATCAAAACTCAAACAGAAACTTTCTTAATATATGGAAATAAAAATGTGAATAGAATGTTTGGGAAAATATGTCACACTGAATGGTGACTGTTGAAAAAAATAAACTTGTCATTTTAAAGAGAAATAAATTTATTTAATCTTGGTACCAGTTTCATTATTCTATCTGATCTAAAACTTGTTTAATAAATTTAGAGACCTTTTATAAGTTTGGAGATCTAAAATTTGGAGACCTTACTTATCAATCTATCTTTTTTAATTTTGAAGAGAAATAAATTTACTTCATCTTGGTACCAGTTTCATTATTCTATCTGATCTAAAACTTGTTTAATAAATTTAGAGACCTTTTATAAGTTTGGAGATCTAAAATTTGGAGACCTTACTTATCAATCTATCTTTTTAATTTTGAAGAGAAATAAATTTACTTCATCTTGGTACCAGTTTCATTATTCTATCTGATCTAAAACTTGTTTAATAAATTTAGAGACCTTTTATAAGTTTGGAGATCTAAAATTTGGAGACCTTACTTATCAATCTATCTTTTTAATTTTGAAGAGAAATAAATTTACTTCATCTTGGTACCAGTTTCATTATTCTATCTGATCTAAAACTTGTTTAATAAATTTAGAGACCTTTTATAAGTTTGGAGATCTAAAATTTGGAGACCTTACTTATCAATCTATCTTTTTAATTTTGAAGAGAAATAAATTTACTTCATCTTGGTACCAGTTTCATTATTCTATCTGATCTAAAACTTGTTTAATAAATTTAGAGACCTTTTATAAGTTTGGAGATCTAAAATTTGGAGACCTTTACTTATCAATCTATCTTTTTAATTTTGAAGAGAAATAAATTTATTTAATCTTGGTACCAGTTTCATTATTCTATCTGATCTAAAACTTGTTTAATAAATTTAGAGACCTTTTATAAGTTTGGAGATCTAAAATTTGGAGACCTTACTTATCAATCTATCTTTTTAATTTTGAAGAGAAATAAATTTACTTCATCTTGGTACCAGTTTCATTATTCTATCTGATCTAAAACTTGTTTAATAAATTTAGAGACCTTTATAAGTTTGAGATCTAAAATTTGGAGACCTTACTTTTAATTTTGAGAGAAATCAATCTATCTTTTTAATTTTGAAGAGAAATAAATTTACTTCATCTTGGTACCAGTTTCATTATTCTATCTGATCTAAAACTTGTTTAATAAATTTAGAAGACCTTTTATAAGTTTGGAGATCAAATTTGGAGACCTTAGATCAATCTATCTTTTAATTTTGAAGAGAAATAAATTTATTCATCTTGGTACCAGTTTCATTATTCTATCTGATCTAAAACTTGTTTAATAAATTTAGAGACCTTTTATAAGTTTGAGATCTAAAATTTGGAGACCTTTACTTATCAATCTATCTTTTTAATTTTGAAGAGAAATAAATTTACTTCATTTGGTACCAGTTTCATTATTCTATCTGATCTAAAACTTGTTTAATAAATTTAGAGACCTTTTTATAAGTTTGGAGATCTAAAATTTGGACCTTAGAATCTATCTTTTTAATTTTGAAGAGAAATAAATTTACTTCATCTTGGTACCAGTTTCATTATTCTATCTGATCTAAAACTTGTTTAATAAATTTAGAGACCTTTTATAAGTTTGGAGATCTAAAATTTGAGACCTTTTCAATCTATCTTTTTTAATTTTGAAGAGAAATTTTACTTCATCTTGACCAGTTTCATTATTCTATCTGTCTTTGTTTAATAATTACCTTTTATGATCTAAAACTTTTTAATTTTAGAGAAATAAATTTATCTTGAGTATCTGATCTAAAAACTTGTTTAATAAATTTAGAGACCTTAAAGTTTGGAGACCTTACTTATCAATCTATCTTTTTAATTTTGAAGAGAAATAAATTTACTTCATCTTGGTACCAGTTTCATTATTCTATCTGATCT